AGGCTTCCTCTCCCCACCCCACCCCACCCCCCCACCATTCAGCCATCAACGTAAACACTGCGTGATGCAATATTTTAAGACATGAAATCAGCGAAGAGCTTGCCAGCTTTTGTGAATCAAGTTTTTACTGGAACCCGGGTTGGAACCCTAGGATGTGAAGCACGTGGGCAGGCTCAGGCCAAGTGCAGGGTCCCAGTCTTTGTTTTCATCTCAGGATGTTTTTGCATAGATTTTCACTCTTCAAAAAAAAATCACATCAAAACATTCTTCACCCCGTTTCCTAAGGTGTGTCGGTGCCTTCATAAATTGGGACACCAGACCCAAGTGCCTGACTCAACTCCTCCGGCACCTGCCTCGCAGATGACGACAGTTCCTGATCCTCCCTCTCCATGGCCCACACCCCCAGGGCGCTCCCCCCAGCCAGGGGTCCCCCTCCTGGCTCCAGCAGCCCTCCCTCTCTGCCCTCCCTCAGGCTCCAAGTCCCCTCCGGCCCCTTCACTTCTGTGCCAGGAAATCCCTAAAGAATTTCCTGCTAGTCACGCAAAGCCACGTGGGAACCACGACCGACCAGCGTTTGCGAACCCCCAAGGCACCGAGTGGACGAACCCCGAAAAGCCCGCAGGCAGCTAAGGATTTAAGTTAACAAGAACGTAACACCCATCTGACGTGAGCGTCTTCTTCCCTCGGACCCCAGCCTCACAGAATGGAAGGTTCTGGGAGGGGCTGCGGAAGACTCCGGGACCACCCCGGCCCCAGCCTGCGGCCTGCTGTGAAAAGGCACCGGAAGGGGCTTGGGGACCCTGGGTCCAGTGGCTGTGATGCAGCCACGTGGAGGAGGAAAGGCCTTTCCGCTGCACCCCTGACGGCAGGCTGGCGAGCTCATTCCAGAAGGTGCATGTGCAAAAGCGGATAGCGTACAGGACAAGAAGGCGGTGGAGGAAAGTACCCTGAGAAAACACTAACCAACGCGTGGTGATGCAAGGCCAAGTTCACTGGAATAAAAGGCCCTCTCCTTTTGCACAGGGAAGGAAGCCATCGACAAAATGAGCGGCAATCTACTGAACGGGGGAGATCCTTGCACACGATGCGTCCGATAAGGGGGTGATCCGAAAGACAGAACAGGTACAACTCCGTAACAAAAAGACAAACGCAAATGGGGGGGAGACTCGAGTAGACATTCCTCCAACGGAGACACACACAGAGGGCCAGCACGCGCATGAAAAGATGCTCAACGTCACTCCTCGTCCGGGAAAAACATCCTGGCACACGTCAGAATGGCTAAGATCAAAATGACAAGAAGTAACAAATGTCGGTGAGGATGCGGAGAAAAGGGAGGCCTTGCGCGCTGTTGGCGGGAACGCAGATTAGGGCAGCTACCCTGCACAACAGTACGGAGGGTCCTCAAAAACGAAAAGGACAACTACCGTATACAATCCAGAGATCGTTTTTGGGGATGCACCTGAACAGAATGTCGGAAAGACACGGGCACCCCCACGTTCACCGAAGCCTGATTCACAACAGCCGAGAGGTGGAAACAACTAAGTGTCCATCAACAGGTGGATGAAGATGTGGTGTGTACACGTGGGGAGACAGACAGACAGACAGACACACACACACACACACACACACACATACACACACACAGTGGAATATTACTGATCCGTGAAAAAGGAAGGAAATCCTGCCACTTTCAACAGCGTGGATGGACCCAGAGTGTATTATGCTAAGGGAAGTAAGTCAGACAAATTCCTTCAGATTTCGCTCAGATGTGGAAATCTAAGAAATAAACGAACGCCATGCAAACAGACTCATCCATACAGGGAACTGGTGGCCGCCAGAGGGGAGGGGGATGGGCAAAATTGGTGAAAGGAATCAGGAGACACAAACGTCCAGTTGTAAGTCACAGGGATGAAAAGCCCAGCCTAGGACGGAAGGTGCAGCACGGGGACCAGACACGGTCATGACCGTCGCACAACACGTATAAATGCGTTAAGTGCTGACCCGCTGCGTTACACCTGAAACTAACATAATGCCGTAGCTCAACTACTATTGTGGAAAGAAAAATTCACAATTAAAAAAAGAAAGAAAAAAAGAAAAGGCTCTCTGGATAAAGCTTTTCAGCCGTTAAACGTGGTCTGAAGGCATCGCCATACAGACTTTATTCCTGGCACAAACGGCCCCAAGTGAAGAAGCTGCTGCAACCAGCGGGCAGGGCCTAGGACAGAGAGACAACGCAGGCCAGTGGGCCCCCGCGGTCCTCATTCTGAATGCTCCGAACAAAGCCTGGGCACTGCTTACTACACCTGGCAAGTGCAGAAGCAGAGGCTGCCCCAGGGCGGAGGGCCTTCAGAGGTCTTAGGCATGAATGCCCACAGGGCAGAAAACACCAGACTGACCTCGGGAATTTCACCAACGCCTCAAGCTGGCACAGTGGCCATTATTTAATAAGAGTACTGAAAAGCCATCCTTTCTGGGGCAGAAACACAGCGACGCTGTAGCCAAACTGGCTTCAGAGAAGGCACTAGGCGCGGAGAGCCTGAGGCCTGCCTCCCTGGGTCCCGAACAGCCCGAC